TCTGGAGTAAGAAAGTGTCGAGCTCGATAAAGAGATGCAACCTTAGCAGATGCTAATTTTGCAATGGATTTGATATACGGTTTAAAAGAAAGATCAGAAGTAAGAGTTAATCCTAGAAGATGAATGGTAGATGACTCATCTAGTACATTACCATTCATAAATATAGGAAGATCTAAATTATTACGATAACGATTGGCCGAATAAAATTGAGTTTTATCTGAATTAAAGTTCACCAGCCACTGTGAGCCCCATGCTGTAGCAGAAGTGAGATCCTTTTCAAGCTCAGATACCCCCTCCAAGCAATCAGAGAGTGTAGGCTTCTTATCATGACAAGAGTAAATGGTAGTGTCGTCAGCGAATAATGCCACCTTAGATGTGAGAATATCTGGAAGATCGTTAATGTAAATTAAAAAGAGTATAGGGCCAAGGATTGAACCTTGAGGAACCCCTGAAGTAACAGGATGTGAAGAAGAGTGTTGTCCATCGAGGACAACTTTTATACTACGATTGGAAAGAAAGGACTCAATAATCTTAAAGACGTTACCAGCTACACCATAAGAAGAAAGCTTATGGAGAAGACCAGCATGCCAAACTTTATCAAAAGCTTTAGAAATGTCAAGTGCGATAGCCTTAACCTCTCCACCTCTATCTAATGCACGGTAAAACCTATCGGTTATTACTGTTAGCACATCAGCTGTAGAACGAGAAGACCGAAATCCATATTGATGATCAGAGAGTAAGTTATTTGATTCAAGATGGGAGATTAAGTGTTTGTTGATTAAAGATTCAAAAACCTTGCTTATGACAGGAAGAAGACTAATGGGACGGTAGTTAGATGAATCAGATCGCTCCCCGGAATTTTTGAAAATAGGGATAACAGATGCTGCTTTCCAGCATGATGGAAAACAAGACTCTGATAAGCACTTGTTAAATAGTTTAGAAAGTATGGATGAAAGCTCCGGAGAACACCTCTGCAAGACTACAACAGGAATGTTGTCAGGACCACAAGCTGTTGAAGAGTCTAAGCAGGAAATTACTTTAGATACAGAAGCTGAAGTGATGCGAATGTCAAGCAAGGGATCAACCTGTTTGACGGTTATGTCAGGTAAAACGCAACTAGTGGAATCAAGAGATGATATTGATGAAAAGTTCTTAGCAAACAATTCAGCTTTGTCTTTAGGTGAGGTGACAAAGTCTGAACCATACAAGAGAGAAGGAATAACAGATTTGCCCTTATTATTGATACTGTTAAAGATTCTCCAGAAGTCTCGAGAGCCTAATTTTTGTGATGAGATACGAGATTTAATGACCTGGGAATAGCGAGCTTTGGCGTCAGACAAAACCTTTTTACAATGGTTTCTGGCGATAGTGAACAGATGTCTGTTTTCTGGAGAATTGTTTTGCTGATAGATATGGAAGTAACGGTTTCGATTAGAAATTGCTACTGCGCAATGTGAGGAAAACCAAGGAGAAGAGTGAGGCTTGACCTGGAATCGTCGAGAGGGAATAAAAGATTCCATGCCAGCCTGAATCCACGAAGTTATGTAAGAAGCACATTTGTCAGCAGGAAGACGAAAGATTTCTACTTAAGGGCCATCACGAAGAAAATCACGGAAAGAGTCCCAGTCAGCTTTAAGGTAGTTGTATGTGGTACGATGATAGGGGGATTCTGATGAAGTAGAAGAATTTGATAATAGTTTTAGAGAGATCAAACCGTGATCAGAAGTACCTAAGGGTGAATGTGGAGAAATTGAGCACTGACTAGGATCCAAAACAAGACATAAGTCGAGTAGAGAAGGTAAATGATTAGGGTTGTCTGGAAAACGAGTTGGAAAGTTGACTATTTGAGTTAGAGATTGAGAAAGGCAAAAGTTGAGGGCCTTAACGCCAGCAGAGTCACTGACACTAGAGCCAAGCCAATCGGTGTGATGGGCATTAAAGTCACCAACAACGACAATATTGGCCGATGGATAAAGAGAGAGGGCTTGGTCAATTTGATCAGAAATAACATCAAGAATAGTGCAATCTTGGGATGAAGGAGAGCGATATAGAACAAAGAGAAAGGCGATAGAGTGAAGTTGTGCTAAACGAAAGCACATAAATGAATAGTCTGTAGATTCAAACCTAGTTTCACGACAAATGGGTGAGTTCTTACGAATGTAGATGCCCAGGCCAAGCATGTGATTATTGGAGTCTTTACGAATTAAAGGAAGATAACCATCAACACTAAGATCACAAGATGGGACAGCTGAACTCAAATTAGTCTCACAAAGAGCAAGTAGGTCTGGTGAACTTTGCAAGAGATAAGACTCAACAGAAGAAAAGTTACTTCGAAGACCACGAATATTAGTAAATGATAGGTTTAGAGAACTTGGTGATGACAATGGTTTTTTGTGTTTTTTAGTTTTAGGTACTTTAGTCATTTTAAATTTATAAAGAACTTGACTTAAGTATAGATAGTACTCAGTACACTATTTAACAACTAAGCAATAGCCTCATTACTATTAATAAACCCTAAGCCGTAGCAAAGGGCTCCAAATGTGGCCTCTGCAATGCACACCAAAAGTACAAACAGGGACACCATCCATGCGCAACATGGCACTGTTAGTACTCTGATATTTTTCGGCTGTTGATGGAATCAGCCTCTCTGAGAGCTACCACAGAGTTCGGGAAACCTGACTACCAGCCGGCCTCAGAACCATAAAACTGAGTTTTAGAGCTGTACCCTCATTAGGAGATAATAGAATGAGTTGCCCAGTCATAAAAATAGAGACAAAAGCAATACCCACGCATTGAGTCAAGAAGATCCAGCGTTCAACATCCTAAACTGGAAACAATGTATTAAAAATACATCTGCGCCAGCCTAATAGATGAGGAAGGGGTGCGAGGCTGGTCAACAGATAGAATCTGTTTACCCCTTAAATATATATATATATATATATATATATATATATATATATATATATATTTATATATGTAAATATATACTTTTAAACATCTTCGCTTCCAACAAAGCTGCAAGCAAACACTAATTAGTGTTGGAAGTTACTGGAAAAGAAAAGATAAAGATTGTAGAGCAAGATAACAATTAATAGACGACATAAAAGATTGCAAATTATATAAATCAAAAAATGAATTCCAAAGATCTGATGTTAAAGGAAAAAAACTAGATAAATAAGAATTTTTAGGGCACTTACGAACAGTAACAGAAAAAGGATAAGACTTGTTTGAATGACACGAGAGTGAACTTTAGTAGATGGCACAAGAGACGCTAGCTCTTTAGAGCAGTGCCCATTATAGTATTTGTAGAAAAGAGAAAGATAAGCAACATTACGACAATGTGATAATGGTTGAAGGTTGGCTGCAAGAGCAGGTCCAACTATGTTTACAATGCGTTTTTGCACCTAGTCTATTAAAGAAAGGGCATCATCAGTAGATCCGCCCCAGATATAGCAACAGTATTCCATACAAGACCGTATTTGAGATTTATAGAGAAAGAGAATAGAATCCAAAGTAAGAAAGTGTCGAGCTCGATAAAGAAATGCAACTTTAGCAGATGCTAATTTTGCAATGGATTTGATATATGTTTTTTTAAAAAAAATCAGAAGTAAGAGTTAATCCTAGAAGATGAAGGCTAGATGACTCATCGAGTACATTACTGTTCATAAATTTAGGAAGGTCTAAATTATTGCGATAATGATTGGCTAAAAAAAATTGAGTTTTGCCTGAATTAAAGTTTATCAGCCACTGCGAGCCCCATGCTGTAGCAGAATTGAGATCCTTTTCAAGCTCAAATGCCCCTCCAAGCAATCAGAGGGAGTTGGCTTCTTATCATGACAAGAATAAATGGCAGTATCATCAGCAAACAATGCCACCTTAGATGTGAGAATCTGGAAGATTGTTAATGTAAATTAAAAAGAATAGAGGGAAAAAGACTGAAATACCTGAGGTTACAGAATAAAAAGAAGAGTGCTTTCCATCAAGGACAACTTTTAAACTACTCAAAAGAGAGGATTCAATAATCTTAAAGATATTTCCAAATAAACCGTAAGAAAAAAGCCTATGGAGAAGACCAGCATGCCAAACTTTATAAAACACTTTAGAAATGTCAAGAGCAATGGCCTTAACCTCTTCACTTTTATCTAATGCACGATAAAACCTATCAGTTATTACTGTTAGAAAATCAGCCATAGAACGAGAAGATTGAAATTCAAATTGATTAGAAAGTAAGTTATTAGATTCAAGATGAGAGATTAAGTGTTTGTTAATTTAAGATTCAAAAACCTTGCTTATGATAGGAAGAAGACTAATGGGACGGTAGTTAGACGAATCAGATCGCTCTCCAGAATTTATAAAAATAGGGATAACAGGTGCTGCTTTCGAGCAGGCTAGAAAACAAGACACTAATAAGCACTTGTTGAATAGTTTTGAAAGGATAGACGACAGCTCCGGAAAAACACTTCTTCAAGACTATAACAGGTATGTTGTCCGGGCCATAAGCTGTAGAAGAGTCTATGCAGGAAATCACTTTAGATACAGAAGCTAGAGTGATACCGGAGAAATGTCAAGCAATGGATTAACCTGTTTGATGGCTATATCAGGTAGAACGCAACTAGTGGAACCAAAAGATGATAATGATGAAAAGTTCTTAGCAAACAATTCAGCTTTGTCTTTAGGTGAAGTGACTAAGTCTGAACCATGCAAAAGGGGTGGAATTGCAGACTTGCCCTTATTATTAATATATATATATATATATATATATATATATATATATATATATATATATATATATATATATATATATACATATATATATGTATATATATATATATATATATATATATACATATATATATATATATATATATATATATATATATATATATATATATATATATATATATATATATATATATATATATAAACATTGATATATATTTATTTATATATATACACAGAATTAAAATCAACAAAGTTTACAAACTTTAAAAAAACCTTAC